TGCCAGCAACTCCGGGCCCTGACGGGGGCTGTAGGCGCCACCTGAGCAGGGCTAGATGGCACAGGCAGCGCCGCAGAAGCAGGGGCCACCTGCTGAGGCGCAGCCGGCGCCGCCGTCTGTGGTGGGAGGCGACGCCTCTTCAAGGGTCCGAGGAGACACCATGCCTGGCTCCAATGCTGCGGCCTGGGCCTGGCCCTGCCCGAGGCATACAGGAGCAGGCGTTGCAGCTTCACTGAGGGCCAAAGGAACCCACAAGTTCCGGGTCATCCAACCCACTGAAGGCCCAAGTGTTCCATGTATCTCAGGAGGTCCGTCCAGGTGTGCACCACTCATTTCACCATAGCCGCTTCCATCTTCACGCAAAGCCACTCCAAGCAAAGGCCCGAGTTGGTAAGGTACTCTTGTTCTCGTGCCAAAGGGGGAGGCATCAGCGTCACCACAAGACCAAGCAAGTCCTGGAGGAACAAAGAGGCGACACCCCTCAACGCACCAGACGGGCGCTCGTCCGGCACACACTCGGGCCGGACAGGCCCAGCAAATGAAGTCAGTGTAGGCCTGGCCACAGAAGGTGAAGACGAGGTGAGAAGCACTGCTGCAGAAGAGGGATGCGACGGGACTCACATGCAAAAAGCCCGCGCCCCCGGGCAGCCAGGCCCGGCTCGCTCTCCTGTCCAAGCCATCGGCCACAGCTCGCCCAGCCTCTCTCAGCGCCCCAGCATAAGACGTGAAGTAAAGGGCACGGCGACTGCCCGTCGCAATGGCAGCAGTCGTGCACCAGGTATTGAACTGCTCCTGCTCCACTGCACGGCACATGTGCAGATCGTCCATGGCGACGCAGGAAGAGAAAAACTGTTGAAGAGTCAGAGACACTAGACTCTTCAGGAGCGTCACTCCTTTCATCTTTTTTTGGCTTGAGCCGCAAGGTTCAAGGAGTGCACTTAAAATGAATGACATCAAATAATTCCTCATCACCGCCCCTGCCTACCTTGAATGAATGAATATATGATGTAATTCTTACCTAATAATATCGTGGATTTATTGATTCTTTTCTGCAATCTTTTACTTGAACAAATAGGGAAGGATAGGCCACAGCAGCGGCTAGCGGCTACCGCAACTCTTGTTAGCCAGATCTTCGGGTGTATGCAGGATGTTTTTAGTTATTCTTTTGGATTCTTATTTTGAAGAAGGAATGATAGTTTGGGATTATCTTGTTTGTGGTTCTCAAATTGGATATCATATTCAAACATATGGATTGAAACCTTGTTTTTAAATTGATTTGGGATTGCCATATGTTTATGAGTTTAAATTATTGGACAAAAATAGATCATCGAACATATGTGTCCAATTTCCTCCTGCTACCTGCTACCACTGTTTGAATTGATTTTTGATTATTAGCTAATCTGGGAAATATTAAATGTTCAAGACGAGCTAGTAGCTTGGAGGCCATCGCTAGTGGGTTGGAGCCCATGGCTAGTAGGTGCAAACACACCACGATTGATCGACATGAAGAAAGCTCCGCACCTTGCGGCCCAGGGATTCAGTGGACTTTGCACATTGCCCGGGTCCATCGGCTGCGTACCACTTGGTGCTTTCGGGCTGAAACTACTTTGTTCCGCCTTGACACTGGACCTGCTCAGACCTGCTCTCAACTGACTAACCGAAGGCTTGGAGAAGGAGTTCTTCTTCCAAGTTGATCCAAGTGGCCTTAACTTCTATGTGTTGCGTGGACACGCTATTCTTTCAAGTCCTTTTAATCAGACTTGAAGTGCACATTGAAAGAAATATACTTGGAGCAGAAACAACTTTCATGATCCAATCCAGCCAAGTCCGCTGATGCTATTGAGGAAGGGCGCGTGAGCTGTGTCTGTTGCAAGCATGGTGGTTAAATGGATGCGGTTTGGAAATCGACCATGGGCATCTGCCTAAGATAAACATAATTGATGAAATGATGCTCCCTTCACCTCATCCATCTCATCTGTCTTGAAGAACTCCACAAATTCAGTCTGAGTCGTGCATAAATGCAGCAAGATTGCAGAAAAGCAGGCAAAGCGCAAAGCAGAACAAGACATCCGGTGGTGGACAACAAATCTGGTCGAGCCACAACTTGCAGTGTGGCGTGTTTGTGGTATGCTGCGCCAATTTCCTGAGAGGAGGAGAAAGTCAGAAACCGACAGCGTGTGTCTAACAAATGCTGAGCCTTGAAACAGAGAAAGTTCCCCATCTCCCGCAAAGACATAGGTCAAATGCAAAGGAGCAGGGTCATGTCTGCCAGAACCCCAGTGCAGGAATGCTGTAAAAAGAAATCATACTAGGTGGTTCTTTACGGGTGGCCTGTACCAGCCAAGGTTGCCAAGGTTCATCGCGAATCACCAAATACTTTTGTGTTTGTTCTTGGTCAATGACAATGCCTTCTCCAGCCTCAGGTGAGGACTTGAATCATTTAGTTGGTCTGGCTTGCTTCTCCTTCATTCAATACATCAACTTGCTGCCCTGAGGTCAAAACCGTGTCATTCCACTTGAGCACATATCCGAACGTTCGCGGATACCTCACAAGAGACAAAACCTGTGCGAGCAGGTCGAAACAAATCATGAGCAAGTGCATATTGGAAGTTTCAATCAGGCCAGCACTGAAACTGTGCACACCAACGCCGGTGTCGTAATCGTCTCAAATACAGCCTTCTCGTGGCTCCCTCAAACCTGCAATCTCCAGAGATGAACAGCATCGCCCACATCGCAACACCACCAAAGGGGTGGGAAACCAAGAAGGCGGCCACTGGCTACCTGCCTGTATTTTTGTTCAGCTGGAATGCTCCTTCCTGCCTTCATGCTGACCTTGAATTCTGAAACGAAAGGTCGAACATATGACAGTCATCTTCAACGTTAGACAGAAGTTAGAAGCGATGTCCAAAATGTTCTTCAAAGGAACATACTTTGCACAGCATGTCCCGGAATTATATAATGTCAGGTTTTGTTTGTCAAGTTTCCTTGTTTTTGGTGCTGGTGTGGCTGGAAATGCAGATTTCCTGGTGCGCAGCGTTTTGTGAACCTGGGAGTGCACTTTGGGAAGCACAGAGCACCGATCTTAACATCTAGGTCTGAGTGTCAGATAGCTTAAGAGACTGGTAGCCCTCTGCATCCATCGTTGTGGGTTGTGATGGTGTTATGTCATATTCAAAAGCAAAACTGATTTTTGCGGGCAGGCGAACCACTGTACGCTCTCGGGTGGCTTGCAAAAGGTATCCTACGGTTAACCTCTAATCCTCAGGTGGATCACAGAAGATGTGCTATGTTGGAATGTCCCTTTCCTTCTCTAAGCTTTACCTGGCCGCGCCGCAGCGCTGTGTAAACCTCGCTGATCTTGGCATCCGATTCTTTTGTCAGATGGCCAACGCCTGGTGGCCCTTAGAATTTATTGTTATGGGGCTGCGGTGGTCTGATGTGTACATGCTTTATATATATTTTAGTGCAACAGATGGTGAAACATTCCATAAAGGTATCCATATTTCTCCGGCGGCAGGCGCAGCACTCTGCGAATTTCCAGAAAAATAATCATGGCGGGCGAAGTGTTTTGTAAGCTGGAAAAAATGTTGTAAAAGGCATGGCACTTAGTGATCTAGTGACTTAGTGCAGATTTCGTGGCTACCACAGCATCCAGTGTTGTGGGGTTGTGCTGGTCTTGCGTCTACATGCTTTCCATTACTGCAACAAGTGGTGAAGTAATATGACTATATATATATATATTGACGACAGCAACAAAGACCATAAAAAGAAAAATACGAAAGGGAATCAATACGCTACAAAGACGAGAAGAAGGAAAACAAAGCCAAAGAAAAGGCTGATAAAACAAACCAAGCACAACACCAGCAGCAAAAGCAAGAAAAGAAAGAGGATTCACAAGAAGCAATGAAAAGCAAGGAAAAGAAAGCAGAAAAGCAGGAAAAGCAACAAAAGCAGCAAGAGGCAGAAACAAACAAATCCAAAACAGAAACAAAAATAAATAAAAATACCCCTCCAATGCCAAATGTTTAACAAGGTGTTGCTTGTTTTGTGATGAAGACGTACCAGCAGCACAAGCATCACAATCTAAGCTCCGACCTGCACATCCCGGACAACGTGATCCGCAGTGCCTTACATGAAACTAACACGCCTCGAATGTCTGACCTTCTGCACAAAAAGCCCTACAGTATGAGGGTTTCAGCCTGCCACGAACGTGTCCAGCGAGCCTCCACAAGGCTGTCAAAAGCAAAACATGGCAGCCGAGAAAGTGAGAGAATCTCAAGAACCAAGCCGCTCACAAAGAATCTCTGCACTTCAAAGTTTTGTTTGGATCACTTGGTGAAGGGCCTCCTGCCCGAGCAAAGCTCCACACCACTGTTGCAGCTGCTAGGGAAAGGAGCAGGCGGCCTCATGCAGAGGAAATGTTTGTTCTGTCAAAAGCAAAAAAGTAATCTTGGAGGGAGCATTCACAGCAAAAGAATGCAGAAGTGGTTGGATCAAGGGACGAGCATACTCATGAAGGTTTCAGACTTTCAGGCACAAGGCAAGGAGTTAAAGAGGCAAACAAACAGCCAGGCAGTGAGAGGTGAGAGGTGTGTGGCCTAGTGCCATTGTTCGCGCAATTTGCGGCCGGCAGCTGGCACGGTGGTCCACAACCTGTGGCACAGGTCCAGTCAAACCAAGTTTTCGGAATTGCACAAGGATTCGCCGGACTATGCAAAAATGCCTTCACATAGGTCATCCTGCCGCCAGCTGAAAATACTGGCTGCTTGAACCACTCTTGAATTTGCGGTCGCAGTGCAAAGCATGAATCCTGACACTGACTTCTACCTTGAAGGAGCAACCATTTTCTTTTGAGAAGTGGATCTTAGAATCAAAGTGTCTAAGCGACAGTGACAGACTTCCGTCCTAAAAGAGTCCATTCAGAATCATTGGCAGAGTCCCCCACGTACTGAACACTTGGTGCATGGAGGGTTTGCAGCCATGTCCGAAACACTTTTCCCAGCGATGCGTTGAGCTCTCAGAAAGAGGAAGGTTCAGAGAGGGTCTTCCAGGATTCGTACGCAGCAGACTGCTTTGCCAGTTTAATTTTGCTCTGCGGCAAGCCTTTCCAAACTAAGTGATCAAGTCGAACTTCAATAACGAACGGAGTGGTTGCGCGAATTGTGACGTATTGCGCCACCCTCTGCTCTGAATGTGGCCTGCGTGTGATTTGCAAGTGTGTATTCACCATTGAAACATAGTCGCTCTCAGGATCAAACGCTTCATGGACTTCACGAGTCAGGGTCCTTCCGTTTCGATATTGCCTCGAACACTTCACGGGTCGTTCCAGTGGAAGTTCACCCAAGATCTGAGCGAATCACCTCGTTTCGCACCGCCTCAATTGTAGGCGGGTCTGTGGCCCAAGCATTTTGCATGGCCCCAATTTGGCATCGAACTCATCTGTCCAATTCACGTGCAAAACCTTAAGCTTGCACAAGTTACATAAGGGAGCCACAACTTTCCACATGAAGCAACGGCGATTGTCGGCAGAAAACCAAACCTGCTTGTCAACTTCAAACGGAGATCTCCGCCCTAGCAAGGAAAACATCCCTGTGGCGACTCTCATCAACGGCACACGGCCAAGCTCATTTGGGCACTGTACCAAACGAACCATGGTTTCAAAGAGACACTTTCCATCAGTGAACTTCTGTTTCACTGTTGCTTGAGTTTGCACCAAATCATCCATATTCACCTCTATTGGTCCATGAACCGTCTGCTCTGAACCAATTGCCAAGTGCGTATGATCATGGGACCTTGGATCTAGTGCAAGCAGTGGCTCTGGCTCTTTGGCAGAACATTCTCTAATCCAGCAATTTTCAGCCACATGAGACACGTCTAGGTCATCCAAGACCTTCTGCATGTCTGATTCGCGCTCAACTAGCTTTAAGACCTGTTCTTCATCATCTAAAGCATCGCAGCACATTATTACATAATGACTTCTCGTGTATCTTGCACGGCCTCGTGCCTGAACAAACTTTATGACTGTCTGAGCAGGCTCCATGCGCACCACTAAATTGCAACTGGGAATATCGATGCCTTCTTCCGCAACTGATGTCGCCACCATGACATTTGTCTTCCCTTGTCTGAAGTTGCTGAGAATGTTGCTTTGCTGGGCCATTGTCATTGATTCATCATCACTTTTACAATGTCCCACCAAGCACACTGGCGAAATCCATCCAAACTCACTCTCGCTCGCAGCCACAAAATTCAAAATTTTGGTCATGGCCCTGGCTGCAGATCGCGTCTCGACGAAAATGATGCACCGGAAACAATCCACCTGAGCATCCTGAGCATGAACTTTCAATAGGCTTAACAAGTTCTCGAAGAAAGGAGACAAACCTGCTCTTGACAGCAAGAGCGTCTCCCAAGCACTTGATATGCTCCAGTCAACAGGTAAGCTTCATAAGCCCATTATCGTAGCTGCTTCTCCCCAACACAAGCACCTAACACGTGCAGAAAGCTCTTGAATCTGTTTCATCCTGTTGATCACGTTCATCGAGACTGGGGTTTAAGGGAGCCTGTCACACGCCAATAAACAAACAACACAAAGTCTTATATAATAGTCAGCAACTAGACGGTACAAAAAAAGAACAGAATTCTCTGTGCGGGGAAGAGGTGGAGAAAAGTCTGGAGCATTCTAAGGGGGCTTGGCCAGTGCTGTGATGCAAAGAGCGTCACTCCGCCACAACTGCGCTATCTGAAGGACAATTAGCTTTGAAATCAGGTGACAACCCATATGTGCGAGGTTCTCAAGTGCAGCCAAGGCACAAACTCGACAGCTGTTGCTGAAGCTTCCGCACTTCAGTTTCAGCATGGCGCATAAAGTTTCGAAATTCTGAGCTGCAAGAAGCCAGTCGCGTCACTAGCTTGGCCTGTGGAACAATCCTCTGAAGTTCCTCCAAAATGAGGATGTTTGACTTGGACAAGCTTCGCCTCAGTATCCAACCCTCCGCATGCCAAATTCCACAATTTTGCCCAAACAGAGGTACCACTGCACTGAGTGAGGGTTTTTGCGGCAGAAATAGAAAGGATGGTGCTCGGGGCCCTCTGCAGTTCCATCTAAAGTCTCAAAGTCTACCCTTGCGAAGGGTCACAGGTGCAGGAGAATGGATTTCCAGTGCAGAGTTCACACAGGCACAGCACTTTGGATATGGTGGCTTTTGTCCTCAGGTCACAGGTTCCCTGCTAGGCGCAGTGAATCCTGAAGTTTTAGCAAAATCGGCAATGTTGAGATGTCGGATAACCCCCGCACATTTTTCTGACAGGCTCAAAGCACATCGTGGACGTTGAAGGTGGACGTTGGAGTGCAGCACTTGTGTCTGTATATGTATATAAGTAAAAATATATATATATATCATAAACATAAATATATAACGTCTCAAGCGCTTCTTTTCTCCATAGTCGAGGGGGTGTGCACAGGGCCATTTGGCGTGTTCCATCTTCACCCACCTCTTTCACTTCTACCAATCATTTGCTGTCGAGCTTTGCGTGCTCACGCAACAGGAAAAACCAAATCTTGTCTGGTATACCTGCTGCTGCAAATCTGCTAGTAAAGTCCAGCACCCAATCAAACAATCCAGCACCTTCAAACACAGCTTTCTTGATGACTGGAGGGAGCATTGGCATGAACTGCACCGACCAAGCCTCCTGGATGTACACCTCCATGACCTTTGAACTGATCCAGCGACCCCTGCGACGGGTCATCTCAGCGTTTTCGCTCAACCGTCAGGGTCTCCTGAATGTTTTTTTGCAGAGGTTTCTTCCATCTCCACACGGCGACCACTGACCACTGAGCAGCACATCATTGCACAGCAGATTTTCAAGGCCTCCCATAGATGGCCTTTCCGTCCGCAACTTTGCCTTGAGTGCCACATCAAAACGATCAGCAACCGCCTCTGCTAGCTCATCAGTGTATGAAGGCTTTGTGTACTGGCCCTGGATGGGGATGTGCTCGTGGTCCCCAGTGCATTTTCGATGTAGTGATCTGCCCTCCACGCCGGTCAGCCGGTCAGCAGGAAGACAAATTCCTGCTTACGCTGAGAACAGGCTCTGGATTGACTTGTACGAGTAGCGCGTTGATGATTCCTCACAAATGAAAAGATAATGACTGTTTCAGAGACGCTTTCAATTCACCCTGTTTTCGGTTGAGTCTCTCAGTCTTTCTTATGTTTAGTAGTTTTTTATTCGGATTGACTGCAAAGACTTAAAGAAACTCAGCGCTATGGCCTGTGAATATGCCTTGCACGTGAAGCCGGCCACAAACAGATCTTCTTTGGTGTAGTCCTCCAATCAGCAAGTTGAACACGAGCAGTCAGTCAGCGAGTCAAAGCAGCAGCAAGAACTGAGCCATGAGACCAAGAACTCTTGAAACAGATGACAATGTGACAATGTATGACAATGTGAACCGCCTCTCCTCCTGGTCAAAGGCTGGCAAGGCCGGCACATCGCGCTCTGCAATGGCACACCGGCCACCGGTCCTCCAGCGAGACAAAATCACAGAATCAACGAGTCGTGGCGTGTGAACCAAGAATGGCCACAGAAGCAGCCCGATTTATTTCCAACCTGCAGGCTCCAGCATTTAACAAAGATCACGCCGACAGGAAATGTAGCAACTGCTCACAAACTTCGAAGCCGGACGAGCGAGAGAGACAGAGAGAGCGAGGGAGGGAGATTAATTCAGATTCACAACGACGTGCAAACCACTGATTCCATTGATCATTCAAAGCAAACCCATATCGCCTTTGCAGCAGAAACTGACACCGGTCCTCGCTGATTTCATGCTGACATAGCATTTCTCCGCCTGGATGTTCTGCAAGAGGAAGGATCGCGTGGGTCCCTGAGACGCAGAACAGAAAGGAGTCCAGGAGCAACATTCAGCCAGTCAATGGAACAAAATGTAGGTTTCACATTCAAAAGCAAAATTCAATGGAACAAAATGTCTGGCGCGTTCGTTCAAGACGTGCTCCAATGGAAGTCAATTCGAAAACATGTGGAGCAAAATGTCGAGATCAGCCAATCAGCTGTTCGTCAACCGAAGTATAGGACTAGGAACATGCTTTTCGCTTGCTGCAATCTCTGTGAAGTTCTTCTCACCCAGGATTTCTACCAAGGCGTGTGAGGGGGCACCTGTCCGACTGCATGCTGTGCACAGTACCTGAGTCTGCAAATGTCTCTCCATCCTAAAGCCAATGTGTTTCTGACGCCCCTGTGTTTATCATGCCGGTGGCAAGATGCAATGGGATCTCGAAGAGGTTGCCGGAAGGCATCCAGATCTGCGCCCATCTGCTGAGCGGCCATCTCGGCCCATCGAAAGGCCAGCGGGTCCTCACCCTCATCTGTTGTCGAACCTCCCCTCGAACGCGATCGTGATCGCGAAGGAGAAATCCATGGCTCATCATCACGAGCGCTCGAGAGGAACCCCCGCGAGAACCCACGGAAAGCCACGCCGTCTGAAGAATCGTTTTGATCCTCAAACAGCCTCTCGCAGTTCGCAGTGGGTTGAACTCCAAGCCGTGCCATTCTCTGTGTCATTTCCTCTTATCCACGTCAACCGGTGCACTACAAACGCTTAAAATTGGGCTAAACCTCCACCGTCCGTCCGTCCGTTGCAACCTCATACGCCACACCTCTGGCAACCAAAGAGGCCCATTCAGCCAGCTTCCTCATCTTGCTTCTTCGAGGCTGCTCTAGGAGCCCGGAACGCATAGGTCAGCAGCAAGAGCCATCAGGCTCAGAGCTCTGAGCGAGGTCTTTTCCTCTAAAGGGTCATAGCCTCGGGGACAATCATATCCACGACTAGCTGGGTGCTGAGCCGGAGAGAATGTAGTGCAGGGAGGCTCTACCGTGAATGAATCCAGCAGGCCAGCCTCGATGAGATAGAATAGCCATTGCAAGACTCGAAGGTGAGCAAAATCAAAATGTGGGGAGCGATCAAGGTCTATCACTGGGCCAACTACCCAACCCCTGTCTGCCAAACATCTTGAAATCTTTCCAGCTCCGCAGACCTCCCTGAAGTGGTAGCGGAAAGCATGGGGTCTCTCAGGATGTGGTACTTCTTGAAGGCTGCCTGGATCCTCGATCTCCTCATACATCCAATCCAGCTTCCGCGCAACAGCTTCTTCTCTGGAGAGCATCCTGGAGTAGCAGGTCTTACTTCTCCTTGTCCTCCACAGAACTCTCATGGTCTGCTGGTCTAAATTTCGCGACACTACAGCTCCTTTGGCATCAGAAGAGTCTGTGGCATAGATTTTGGGCAGAAGAGCGGGCAGAGCACTGCAGCCAACAAAACCTCCTGAGCTGCCTGTCGGGATAGTCGGAAGATCTTCGGCTTTCTCTGACTGACTTGATCAGCAGGGCAGACATTGTAAACTTCCGAGAAGATGGACATAGTCGGCCTCCTGTAGAGCATTGCATTGGTCCATCCCCCAATGAGGCACACCCATAGAGCATCAGTTGTCCAGCGAGCACAGGCCAACTGCATTGAGACATAGGAAAGCGCTAACCTCTTTGAAGCAGGGCTCTTCACAGTTGTAAGTTTGCCTTCTGCGAGCCCCATAGATCTTTGTCTGGCGAGCCCAACAGTCCTTCTTCTTCGTAGGCTGTAGTAGCTCTCTTCATATGCATGGTTGCTCGAGAGAGATCCTGGCTCAATGGTCCTTCTGGGTTGTATGCAGGCAGCTTTCCCGTCAACTGAGATGCAATAGAAGTCGTCAATGACGAGGCCACTAGCAACATCTGAGCCACGAAAACACCTGCCAGCTTGTAGTTCACAATGTCCAAAGAGCCCTTTCTGTAGCAGGAACGCCCTGTGTGCCTCCGTAGCAAATTCAACCCCCAAATGGTCACCTTGGGGAACACTGTTGAAGCAGATCTGGAAAAGCTGGGGGATGTTCCTTTCCTTCTTCTTGTAGTTCTCAGTGGCTAACAGGAAGTCTCCATGCTTTGTCCCATCGTATCTTTGGCCACGTCGATTTCTCAACACCCAGCCTTTGAATGCTGCAGTCCCTTCCACAGCTGTGAGAGGCACCAAAGGAAAAACAGCGTTGGAAGCTGCTCGCTGCTCTGACACCTTCATCTGGCGATAGAAGTCACGACGATCCGAAGCGCAAATACTCAGCCTCTGATGTCTCGCAGAAATCTCAAGGTCCAGAAGACACTGAGCTGAGGGCAAACACCTGGAGGTGGAAACCAATCTGCCTTCGACATAGTTTCTGGCCCGACGGTCACCTATCATCCTGTCAGTGGTCGGGTTCTTGTAGTTGTTGAAGAAGCGCATGGAAAGGTGCATAGCGCTTTCTTCGATAGGCTGGTTCCGAAGAAATAGCAAACCGCGAGCATCCCACACCAGCGCTAACTCACATGTATGATCCAAACTTTCCTTCTCCAGGTCTGGTGAGTCCTCGGTTTCATCCAGTGTCCAGAGAAGGCTGGCAGGCTCCTGGTAGGCAATCCAGAGTCGATCAGATAGATATGGAGATGGGTCCCAAAGAGCACTCCCATAGAGGATGAGCCGCAAAGCACGGTAGGGCCTCAACTCCTCAGTTTTGCTCAAATCTCTGTCTACGACCACATTGTCATAGCCAGGCGCTCCTTGAAACGTACGAGAATAAGGGTCGCCTCCATGACATTCTTTGTCAAAAAAGTCTGACAGCTCATCCAGGAGCGACACCAAGGTGGGAAGTCTACGGCCACCCTGAGGTACAAGAAACTCTTCCCGAGAGCTACCGGAAGCCCTGACCACATCCCGGAGATACTCTAAAGCCTCTGCCTGTGATCTTGTAGGCGTCCTTGCCATTGAAGCCAGCAGAACAAAGGAGCAGTCTGCATGCCAGAAGTTGAGGGCCATCACGATGATATGGAATGCCTGGTCAAAGCTCAACCTTCTTCGCTGGCGTGACCCACATTTCGTGTGTCTGAAGATCCCAGGTTTTGGCACAGGTAGTGGAAAAAGGGCTTGTTCAGTTGCAGCATCACGCATACTGTGACTATGGAGAGTAGTTTTGACGAATTCTGCAAAAGGTGTCCTTGAGGACAGAACTTGTTTCAGCAAAGAAGCCGACCAAGTAGCAAATGAAAAAGTCCTCTTACTCCAACGTGTAGAGCTCGAGGTAGATATCCCTTGTTTGTGTGAGGGACCTTCTTTGCTGGCAGCCTTGCAATGGAAATCAAACGCTCCATCGGAACCGAGGCCGGAACATAGCAAAGGTGAAGCTTCATTTCTTGTGTCATCTCGACCAGCTTTCCTCCTCCTCACTGTTGGGCTTCTCCTCCTTTTCCCTTCTTTGCGTGGCGTGGTGGCTTCTTTCTCGGTGCCTCCTCTTCCCCCTTGCCCAGGTTCATCTTCTTGGTGACCAAGCTTTCCTGACGACGGGAGTTGATGAGGCCACTTCCTTGACATAAGCCAATGCCACTGTGGCCCACTCTGGTGGACACAAGGGGGCGAACGCCCTCAACCTGGGATTGGTAGCTGCCGGACGAGCTTGGAAAACTCCAGGAGGAGGGTCCTCCTGAAGGGACAGAAGCCAGGCCACATCCCATTTTCCTCCATCCTGTGCTGCTTGCTCGATTGTGACCAGGGTCAACGCTAACAGTTCTTGCGCTCCTTTGTAGTCCGCAGCCGCAATATGGGCCAGGAGCCACATGACCAAGCCAAAGTCCCTCTGTCCCTGGAAACCTCCGCTCTTCTCCACATACTTCGTGAACAGAGTTCTCCCTTGGAAGTCTGCAAGGCTCATAGGCACTGGATCTGAGGGTTTCATCCTGCGGAATGCATTCTGGGCGATCTTGAGGAAAAAATCCCCCTTTCTCCCTGCCAGTTCGCAGATCAGCTTCTCTCTCTTCGTGGATCCTCGAAGGGATAGCGAAGTAGAACTTGTTGCTCCTCCTAGGTCGTGCAGTCCATCGTTTGAAGCAATCTGAGACACCAGCATTGTCAAAGCTTGAGACTGTTGCAAGAGGAGCTCGGACATGCTGTAGGCATCTGTACCCTGTGAGACCTGGCCCATCCTCGGCTGGTAGTCGGGATGGGAGGGAAGGGCGACTGGCTGAGCATCGGCCTGAGCTACCGCTCCTTGGGCAGGAGTCTTCAGTCTGGGAGGGCTGCCAACATGCCGCAAGAACCGGCTGGCATTGGGTGCCTGGGAGCTGAACGGCTGTGGCACGGCCTGGGTTGCAACAAGGGCCTGAGCAGGAGCAGCCAAAAGTGACTCGACCTTCTCCTGTCTCTTTTCCATCTGGGCAAGCTGCGTAGATAAAGCAGGGAGACTGGATGCTAGTCCTGCTAACTGCTCTGCCAACACTGCCGTGGTCACCCTCTTTGCAGGGGTTGTGGCCTTCTGCTTTGACTGCTTGGGGATCACGGGAGTAGACGGAGCCCCCTCTCCTGAGAGTTGTTGAGCCTCGTCGGCTGAGTAGAACTGCACCGCAAGGAGTTTGGCTCGGGGTAGGTCCTCGCAAAAACCAGCAATCCCCGGGCCTTCGGTGACAGGGTCGAAACCTCTGAGATTTTCTGCCACAGATCCATGAAAGTCCACTAGCATCACCTCGATGTCGAAGTCTAGAGAGACATGGGAACCATCTTCCTCCTCCAAGACAACCGGAACCTTCAATAGATGAGAGGGTCCCACAAAATCTGCCTCTCCAGCGAAACCACCTGCCTCCAGCAGGTCTGGTGGAACAAAGCCCTTTGGAAGAGCCAACATCATGCCACCTGTCCTTGAAATGACAGGAATTGTAAATGCCTCGGCTGGACCAGCACCATCCCCGGCCTCGAAATCCACTTTCAACACCAAGGTTTGGAAAACGTCCTGATCCAGCCCCTTCCACCCTCCTCCTGTAGTCATTGCTCCCAAGGATCAGGGAAGCGAACCCCTGCTCCAATGCAATAGACCTTCCCCTCTGCCAGCGATGGGAAGGAATGAGAGATAGAGTCCTCGAAGCGAGGCACCAACTTGAAATAATCAGCAGCACAAGCCACCCGAGTCGGAGCAGCGATGGACTTTGCCTTGAGGATGATGTAGACCTGGGGCTTGAGATAGGTCGGAAGCTTCCCGGTGGGCCTCGGCTTAGGAACTTCACCGTCCAAAGCAGCACGAGCCCAGCAGCCAGCAATCCAAGCACGATCAGCCCTGTCTCGTACGTCCTGAACCGTGCCACCAAGTCGAGAACAGAGCTCAATACAATGATCAGGTACAGGAGGAATACGAGATGCCACCAGCTCGTAGGCCTGATTTGTCGAGAGCCCTGAGGCTGGAGCAGGAGTTGCCGAAGAGGCGGCGTAGTTGGGAATGTCCCAGTCGACGGTATGGGTGTGCCTCCTGTTCGGGATTTGAAGATCCCCGAGCCCAAGATGCCCGATTTGCAGCTGCCTCGAGGGTGTCAGCAAGAACTCGCAGAGTATTGGCTGCAGCACGAGTTGCCTCAATCAGAATGCCAAGAGCGGTCCCGCTCATGGAGATACGCCCCCAGGCGTATAGAGGAGGGAGTGGCCGATCGCTGAGGTGGCCAAGAAGAGGGGTTCAGGAACCCGGAGTAGAAAGCCCAGAAAGCAAGCGCGACGGTGCACAAGGCACCAAGACAAAAGCCTGCAAGGAAGAAGGCGAAGAGGAAAGGTCCGGAAGCACCGCAATGGGCTGGACAGATCAGGCCGAACCAAGAGGTACCTGCACCCAAGAAACAAGGCGAACCAGATCGGCAACGACCTGATTCATGAAGCTTGAAGCCACAAGAATTGCAATCAATCGACGCTATCAGTCATATATATATATATATATGTGTGGCTCAAGGATGAGCGGACTCAAGATGTAGAAACGGCGTCGGCGTGGACGTTGCGGACAGGACCTTTCGGAAAGGTCGGTAGGTTTGTTTGTAGGTTGGTTCTACCTTTGTGATCTCCTAACGGAGTCACATCAGTAGCGGAGCCGAAAGTTAAGCCATGGCCGGTTCAAGTGATGAGAAGAATTCTGGATCTGGAGTCTTTTGCCTTCATTCGATCCAAGTGTTGACAATGCCCGCGAGTACTTGGCCAAGGTCAATTTCTGGATCGTCCTATGCTTGCACCAAGGCTGGCTATGATGTGCACGGGAACGGCTTGGCATCAGGTGAGGGCACTTTGACCTGATTTGCTCACAGATCCCACGAATGGAGTGAAACATTTCTTAGCTGCTCTACAAAGCTGGGAAGAGAGTGCTGAGTTGAAGACTTTTGAGCTTTTCGAGCGTGCTATTTACAAGACAGTTCAAAAAGCAGAGGAGTTAACCCAGAGCTGCTCTGGTTCCTTGAACAGGTTGATGGTGGCATTCAATGAAGTTGGACCTGACACGACCCTGGAGTCGATCATTGCTGTTTATCGCATGTTTATCGCATGAAGAAAGTGTTGATCACAAACGGGGCTTTGGAGAACACAACGAAGGAGCCACGAGGTCTCTATCGACAGATGTCTTGACTGGTTCAGGAAACACCACGAAGAAGAAGGTTTACCCGACCAACTTCGTTGAGCCAGAGGAGAGTGAGAGCCTCAAAGACCTGGGGATAGGTCAAGCCTTTGTCATGAACCAGGAGGATGACGAAGAGCTGGAAAGCACTGTCCAGACGTTTGAGAGAGATCTTGAAGATCTAAAAATAAAAAGGTGCCCGACCTCCACACGGCCTTGGTCTCGTATCAAGCCATCCAAAACGAAAAGCAATTTGATTTAGCACTAAATTAAATCAATGCGTCCAAGCCAAGAACAGTTTGACCATTGTGAAAGGATATAGTCCGGAACAAGCTGTGCTAGGAAGATCCCAGCGTTTGCCTGCATCCGGTCCATATATATATATATATATGAAGATTTCACAGTACATTCAATAGACCATCCACAAGACACTCAATCCAAAATGTTCTTCATCAATTGGAAGCTTGGCAAGAAAAGCACTTTTAGATGCAGACAACAGTCAAGCGATTCGTAGAGCTATGTACCACCAATCCCGAGGGCAGGAACATCCATGAAGATGTGGTGAACTGTGCACGGTTTGGGACAAGAGAAAATCAACAAACATGTTGGAAAAGGAAGGTGGACAGGACCATGCCAAATAGTACTGGAACAGAGCCGAACAATTCTTTGGGTCACACACACACACATGTGAACCGATTGCTCAGAGTTGCAAGGGAAAACATTCGACCTGTTTCAATTCGATTCAACAGAGTGGCGAAACCTGTGATGAAAAACGACTGCGTGAAATGGCAGAACAACTGAAATCGCAGCTGAAAGAAAGAAGTGGAATGTTTCAGTGTTCAGATCTAACCAAAGTTAAAATAAACAACAAGCCGGAAGCTGAACATGGTCCCCAACCAGAAGAAGAACCACATCGTAGAGACTCTGAAGCTGGAGATGAGCCAGCTGCCTCAGGAGCTGAACTAAATGATGATCAAGCTGGAGATCCTTCATCGAAAACTGCGCCATCAGGTGAGAATGCAACAGAGTGAGTCCGCAGAGCCTGGGGAGCATGATCATGTAGGGGAGCATGATAATGGGGATAATGGGGAAGCTGCAAATGAATCAGGAGGGGATTCGTTCGAGCCTATTTACAATGCGTTGTAGAAGCTAATGATATCGATGTGTGCGCAGTGAAAGATACTGTAATGGAACATTGTGGCCAGAGAAAGAAAACATCTCAATTGTAGATGCAAATGTGTCCATGTTCGAATTTGATGCGCCCGCCAAATATTTGTCCGATTTTTGCAGGAGTCCATGCGTTCATGTCGAAAAGCTTGTTCAAGCAGCAAAGAAAAATCACGTGGAAGTACGGTACAGAAACCTATAAAAATCCTTCAGAAAAGATTGAATTTGATCAAGCCAAAGGGAAAGAAATAGGATGCTGGGTTGAAACTTCCGCAATAGATTCAATAGAACCAATCCTTCGTGACCGCATTCATCCATCCAGAATCATGTCATCACGATGGAAAATGGAACCATCAACTCCAAAGGGGAGGAAAGCAACAGCCAGGTCAGTTGTGAGAGGTTTTGAGGACCCTGATGCTGCAACAGTGTGCACGGAATCTCCCACCTTATCTCGAGATTGGGAATGTTGATGCTTCAGGCAAAATCAGCAGTAGCAAATGGACATTGCAAAGTTTTGACATCGCACTGCATTTTTACGAGAAAAATACGATCACCGTGCTCTAGCCATGCATCCGGTTCCTGAATTACAGAAAATGTTACAACTGAAACCAGATGAGGTATGTCTCCTCAAGGGAAACGCGTATGGAAACGCTGTGCTCCGATCCTCTTCTACAAGGAGTTTCCAAAAAAACCCTTGAAGCCGAAGGTTTCCGAGCACACCCACTCGATGTTTGTCTGTTTTTGCTTCGCAATCCCAAAGATCCCAGCAAGCTCGAAGGTATTTTGGGGACACATGATGGTGATGGAATAGGAGGGGGGACTGAAATGTTTGAAAAGAGCTCTAGAGCGAATACAATGACATCTTCCTTTAAGACAAAGAAAATAGAAAAAGTTCACCGGTCTAGACATTAAGCAGAATCCTGACTATTCCATTCGTGTGAGCCAGTCCGAATACATCCACAAAAAATATCCAATAGATGTTCCAGCATCACGAAGAAAGGAAGAGAGCTCGCCAGTAACACCATCCAAATTGCAGCGGTTGAAAGCATTGTGTGGAAGCCTCCAGTATGCAGCTGTCCATTCAAGGCCAGATCTCGCAGCTAAAGTTGCACTTCTTCAGAAACGAGTGTTAAAAGCAACTATAGCCGATTTGCTGGAGGGAAATCCGCCCGCACCGAAGGTGCTCAGGGCGTGATCATCCGGATGGCATAAACAACTGCAAGATATAGGTTTACCTGGGGGGCGCCATTTTTTGCCAAAACCATGAGCTTTTGATAGGTCGCGACGGCGGACTTCAAAAAACACTGTTTTTTACAGCACGGAATGGACTAGTGACTAGTTCGTGCACGCGCCCGCCCGGAACCGGCAAGAGAAAAGTGAAAAAATAGACATGTTTTTTTACTTTTGGTCTTCGATTTTTGGTTCTGAGACGCGTGATTTTTCCATGTGTCTTGTCGGGAGGCCGGGGGCCAGATTTTGTGATTTTCGAGCTGTTTAGGTGACGGTTTTCCACATTTTTGTTGGGCAGAAACCTGAGAAGCTGCAAAACGAAAGCCAGTTTTTTGTCCACGAGCACGTTGTTGGTCGAAGAGAGACAGTAAAAGTGCAACGGTAGCTACCCTGGATCCACTGCCCTGGGTCCGCGCGTGCGCGCGCCTTGCTGGCTCTCGGTCTGCCCTCGATTTACGTCTCTCCTTCAAGCACTTTTTGCACCTCGAGGACAGCCCTTTGTGGTTCTCTAAAGACATTAAGCATTGTCTGCGCAGGATGGAAGGAGCTCCTGGTGGTGCGGAACAGCATGGCAGCAGTAGTACCATCTTGCAGCCGATCAAGTGTATCTGGCATTCCTAATGGTCGGAAATAATCTGCAGTGGGTCCTTGTTCAGCCTTAGGTATCCAGACACCAACTTGGGTTGGCGCCGGGAGCTCACATGCCATCATGCGATCGAAGTCATCTTGCAACACTGTGGCTGTTTGTTCTGGAAACATGCGCCAAAAGGCATATGGGAGTCCGTCAGGTCCTGGAGCAGAGTCTTTGGTGAGTAGTAAGTGTTCGATGTAATCATCTATGACTGGCTCTGGAACTTCAGGCCAGGGATCCGTTTGTGCACGGTACGTTGCTAAGGTCGCCCCGAGTGCAAGTTTTCGGCACCAAAGCATTCTTTTTTTTTCCACGAGTACGGACGCCGTGTGGGCATGGTGCCCAGGTCATCGTTGAAGGAAGGGAAGAAAAGACAGATGGTGGAGAAAGGAACGAAGACCCCAAAAAGCCAACCCAAAAACCAAACACCCGAGCCCGCAGGCCGACTCCACCATCTTGTAGTCTTCCCTATACACTAGGTGAAACGTGTGAAACTGAGACTAGTGACAATGGGTGGGCCTGAATTCGCAAAAGTAGTGGACTGCAGCGCAAACTGTGTTCTTGGAAAGCCGCCTAGAAGGCTTCAAACGGACTTTCCTTACCAAGTGTTGGTGACCAGCGGCCACACCACAGTGTGGCAAAACAAGGTCACTTTGCAGGTCAGGTGTCTCGCAATGCTCCAGCAGTGGTTGCAATCAGGCCAACCGAAAGTGCGAAGATCTAAGCAGCAATCCATGGAAAAGACTATACTTGCAGCACGACCCGTTCAACCGATGGCGCATACAAGGCCAGTCACATGCTGCCAGCCAGAATTCAGTTACGGCGGCAATTCTTAGCGAGCGAAGCCTGCAGCTAAGGGTGAATCGGGCACCACCTCCCCAGGGGGAGGCAGACCCAACACCCTTCGGCACTCAATGGTGCCAAAAGGGGATGTCACTTGAGTCTGTGCGGCGCTGTTTAATGGCAAAAGATGAAAGGTGCGCGCAAGGCC